CTGCATCGCTCCAGTCGTCAGCTCAGCCCGTGTTCAGCACCTCGTAAACAAAACAAAGCATGAATGTGCTTACCACACACACACACTCAGCTTGGCACGGCGCACGGATATTTGCGAGAGCCAGGCGGACGAAATCGGCCTAGCCGAAATTCTCCGTTACAATATATATATATATATATATATATAGGACGATCCATGTCAACCGGATCACTGCTGTGTCCAAACTTTGATGTGACCAAAAAAATCGTGCAACGACTCATGTTAAAGCTTAGGATATATATTTTCTAATGCTGTGTGCGCCTTTGCAAAATCCAACATGGCGGCTCCAATATGGCGGCTACAAGAGACAAACTCGTAATCAAAAAATTTTATTTTTCAAATTTTTAGTAATAAATGTTAAAAAAATTAATATTTCATATTTTTTTATGAAAATCTGGCTCATTTCCTACAAAAAAGTAACAGAGACCACTTTCACTAAAATGAAAAAGAAAAGTTATAATTTTTTGAAAAATTTTCAAAAATAAAAAACTTTGCGATTTTTTTACTCAGAAGGAAATGATTTTGGAAAAAAAATTTAAGTAACAAAATTGCTTGAAATTCATCAAAACACAAGTGTGAATTTTTTCGAATTCCTTTAAGCGATTTTTTTGAATTTTTGTAAAAGATCTTGGGAAGTTTTCTAATTTTTCAAACAATCCGATAAATCCAAAAAGCAAAAGATCGCTCAAAGGAATTCGAAAAAATTCACACTTGTGTTTTGATGAATTTCAAACAATTTTGTTCCTTAAATTTTTTTTCCAGTCATGTCCTTATGAGTAAAAAAATCGCAGTTTTTTATTTTTGAAAATTTTCAAAAAATTATAACTTTTATTTTTCATTTTAGCGAAAATGGTCTCTGTTACTTTTATGTAGGAAATGAGCCAGATTTTCATATAAAAATATGAAATATCAATTTTTTTAACATTTATTACGAAAAATTTGAAAAATAAAATTTTTTGTTTACGAGTTTGTCTCCTGTAGCTGCTATATTGAAGCCGCCATGTTGGATTTTGCAAAGGCGTACACAGCATCAGAAAGTAGATATCCTCAGCTTTAAAATGAGTCGTTGCACGATTTTTTTGGTCACATCAAATTTTGGACACAGCAGTGATCCGGTTGACATGGATCGTCCCATATATACAGGGTGTCCCATTTTAAAGGAATCACCCCGAAATTTTCGGCGGTTGGCGTTGTACAAAAAAATTGTTCAGACAACAGTTATTTGGGACAATGGGGGCAACCTTTCTGCGAAATCCGATTTGACCTTGAGATTCATTTTCTAGGTCATATGAAGGTCAAAGTCATTTTTAAATAGAAACCCATATTTTTGATCCCGGATTCGAAAAGAGCGGAAAATTCTACGTTTAGATAACGTATTGTGTGGGGTGCGGTTAACCCCCCCCCCCCCCCGCCTAACGTCATGCAGCGGTCAAATTTATGATTTTCTTCATCTATGCACAGGAATGATCGGGCAAGAGTAAGGTTAATTGTAATAACCCAATAACTTGATAACCCAAATAACCCAATAATCCAATAACCCGATAACCCCAATAATTCAATAACCCCAATATCCCAAAAAAATTATAGGGTCAAACAACAGTGACCTTGAGCTTAAGCTTCAGGTTGATTTTCAAAGTCAACTTCATGTATTCAAAGCCTTCATGAGAAGTGTCATTTTCCATTTTGTGGGATAACATGTTATTTCCATTCTATTTTCTGGTGTGGATCCGGACAAGCCTACAAAGTTTCAACTAAATTGTTTAATAACACTTTTTTAGTATTGTTTATGACAATAGTGATTCGCGAACAGTCCTTCTCAGGATTGTTCAAGTGTAATTTTCTTAGTTGACTTAAAAGGAGGGAATATGCCGGATTATTCGAGAAACGAAATTGTTGATATTCTGTTGTCTCTCGGGGCATGTCAAGGCCGATATCGTGCTGCGGCAAGGTATTACCTGCAGTACCCGGCTGGGTAATCAATACCTTGCCTTCATTGGCTGGGTAATCGATACCTTACCTTCATTGGCTGGGTAATCAATACCTTGCCTTCACTGGCTGGGTAATCAATATCTTATTAACCTCTTGCCCCGGTGGGATGGGGGGGGGGGGTGAACCGGTCCCCCAACATAATACTTTATCTAAACGTAGAATTTCCCGCTCTTTTTAAATCCGGTATAAAAAATGGGGGTCCTTATTCAAAATATTTCTTGGTTATTGGGTTATTAGGGTTATTGGGGTTATCGAGTTATTGGGTATTGGAGTTATTGGGTTATTACAATTAACCATACCCTTGCCCAATCATCCCTGTACATAGATGAAGCAAATCATAAATTTTACCCCTACATGACCTTAGGCGGGGGGGGGGGGGGGGGGGGGTAACCGCACCCCACACATAATACGTTATCTGAACGTAGAATTTTCCGCTCTTTCCGAATCCTGGATCAAAAATATGGGTTCCTATTCAAAAAATCACTTTGACCTTCAAATGACCTTGAAAATAAATTTCAAGGTCAAATCGGATTTCACAGAAAGGTTGCCCCCATTGTCCTAAATAACTGTTGTCTGAACAATTTTTTTGTACAACGCCAACCGTCGAAAATTTCGGGGTGGTTCCTTTAAAATGGGACACCCTGTATATATATACAGGGTGTCCAAAAAGTAACGATACACCTGAGAAATTTTCTAAGCCGGTTATTTTTTTAACTGGGTGAAGGTTGTTCTTGAAGTAACTTTTTACGAGGAATCCGACGGTAACCTTGGATTTGACCTTGAACCTCATTTTCAAGGTTATTCTGAGATCAACCTCATTTTTTTAAATGGAAACCCCTATTTTTTATGGCGGAATCGGAAAGAGCGGAAAATTTTACGTCCAGATATGTATTGAGGTATGAGGTTGAGGTAACCCCTAGAGGTCAACTGGAGGTCAAAGTATGAATTCTTAAAAATCTCGCGAATTCAGTGGTTAAAAAAAACAAACAAAAGGATAACCCCAGGTAACTTTCAACGGTGCTCTTTAATTTGTCCTTGAACCTCATTTTCAAGGTTATTTTGAGGTCAACCTCATTTTTTTTAATGGGTACCCCCTATTTTTTATGGCGGAATCGAAAAAAGTGAAGACTGTCACGTATGGATGAGTTGAGGTTTGAGGTTAATGTGACCTCTAAGGGTCAGATGAAGGTCGAACTGTGGCTTTGTAATAGTACCGGGATTTTAGTGGTACAAGGAAGCAAATAAAGGTCATGGAAACCCCCATTTTCGACAGCGGCAATCAATCAGAATTAAAAACAAAAAGTTTGCAACCCAAATAAATGTTTTCAAAAAATGAAAATTATAATTTGAGTACTTTTACAAAAAAGTTCTACTACAGTCTGACTAATGCACTAATGCTTTATGGAGATTTTCGAATGGTAAAATCTTTTCAAATATGTTGCTTTTTTAAATATTAATTTTTGAAAATGCAATTGTGTCGAAGAATAAGCTCAAAACGATAAAGTTAGGCATAGTACATTTCCTAAGGATAGAACCAAGTGAAATTGTTAGTGGATTTTCAATGAATAGGTATGGGATAGTAACCTTAAAAAGTTTAACCGGCCAATCAAGTTATTAAGAAAATAAGCGTAAAAAATAATTGTTGATAGGCGAGGGGAACTCACGAAAATAAAGCACCCCAAAGGGACAGATTTTACTACGTCCACGTTGTTGTTCCTGGGTAACGCTAAAAGTAAAAAAAATTGATCTTGAAAAAACCTTGATAATGAGGTTGAAGGTTAAATTCAAGGTCACGGATCTCCGATGGGCAATTACTAAATAAATACCCTTCTCCATTATGAAAAAAACTTTAAAAAATTTTAGGGCGTCTTTAAGTTTGGATGACCTTCGACTGACCTTAAACTTTAAGTTCGCCCTTGACTTATGATCTAAGTAGATATTTGGATGTGAAATTTTCCGCTCTTTCGATTGCCGCTGTCGAAAATGGGGGTTTCCATGACCTTTATTTGCTTCCTTGTACCACTAAAATCCCGGTACTATTACAAAGCCACAGTTTGACCTTCATCTGACCCCTAGAGGTCACATTAACCTCAAACCTCAACTCATCCATACGTGAGAGTCTTCACTTTTTTCGATTCCGCCATAAAATATAGGGGGTACCCATTAAAAAAAATGATGTTGACATCAAAATAACCTTGAAAATGAGGTTCAAGGACAAATTAAAGAGCACTGTTGAAAGTTACCTGGGGTTATCCTTTTGTTTGTTTTGTTTAACCACTGAATTCGCGAGATTTTTAAGAATTCATACTTTGACCTCCAGTTGACCTCTACGGATTACCTCAACCTCATACCTCAATACATATCTGGACGTAAAATTTTCCGCTCTTTCCGATTACGCCATAAAAAATAGGGGTTTCCATTTAAAAAAATGAGGTTGACCTCCAAATAACCTTGAAAATAAGGTTCAAGGTCAAATCCAAGGTTACCATCGGATTCCTCGTAAAAAGTTACTTCAAGAACAACCTTCACCCGGTTAAAAAAATAACCGGCTTAGAAAATTTCTCAGGTGTATCGTTACTTTTTGGACACCCTGTATATATATTGAAAAACACACATACACTCACACATATATATTTCAAAAATATTTCTACAATGCCAATTTACTATAGCACATATGATTGCTAAAACAATTTTTATACAAAATTTTCATTGAAATTTTTTTCGGATCAGTAAAGTTTTCTTAATATTTCTTTTTAATTTATAAAATTATCTTTATTAAAAATTGGTGTTCAAAGCCTAAATTTTTCAAATGATTATAAAATTTTTTAGGAACATTTTTGATACCCTATGAATCAATCTTGTTTTTGTATCATCTTCTAACCATTCATAAAATGCTATATACTATTTTAAATATCGTGCAATACAACTATGTACATTCATCAAATTTTTATTCTTAAACTTTTCTATCATAGGTGTGACATATATCTACATGTAGTCGATACTAAAACGCAAACTATTTCGCCCATACCGCAAGTTTTAAAAATTATTGATTCAAAATATAATTTTTTGAAAGATTATTATACTGGCTTAGCAATCGAGAACGTTATACCAGCATATATAGGTGTTCAAGAAGACTCATTTGATATCGCATTAGTGGCACTTGTAGCTTTAATGATGGTACTTCTGATTGGCATAGTTACGATTATAATCGTTTGTTGCTACTTCAAACACTGGGTGGTTCGATTTCCGAATGACATAAGCAAAAAAGATGGTCTCATTAAACAACAAATTATCGACGAACTTAATACAACTGAAAACCCACTTTGGATTGAACAGTAAGTTTAATAAATATGTTTTGTAATATAAAATTAAAAGATATAATTATTAGTAAAGATGTTTATCAAAAACAGCATTATAGAATGCTTAAATAAGTAATTAAATTTCTACTTATTTATTCAATTATTTATCAAAGTACAATATTATTAAATATTATATATTAACAAAAGATTGTTCTTAAATAATATTCACCAATTTAAGAACAATATTCAAAAATGTATATGGCCATTTTAATAGGCATTTTGATAATTATTATTCGAAATGCGATACATAAATTGCTTTATACAGCGTGATCCAAAAGTCCCGGAATAGCGGAATAACTCAGCAGGACTGCATTTTAGCAAAAATTATTTCAAACAAAAGTTATAAGATTTTTCCATAGCTATCTAATGGTAACCTTGACCATAACCTTGACCATGACCTTCAAAATCATTTAGAGGTCAAGGTGATTTCTTAAAATGGAATCTCATACTTTTTATTCGTGGAATGAAAACGGCATAAAATATTACATTCAGAAATGACCATAACCATAACTTTAACCTTGACCATAATCTTTAAGGTCATTGAAAGATTAAGGGTATTTTTTAAAATAGAAACCCATACTTATTATCCGTGTAATCCAAAGACCAAGAAATTTTAGGTTCAGATATGGCCTTGACCATAAACTTTAAGTTGGGGCACTTAGTAAGGCAAAATTGGACTTCTACCCAGCTGGTTAAGGCAACTTTATGTATCTTCATATGAAGTTAAGGCAAGGTTATGCATTAACCAAATCACTCAAGGCAAGGTTATGTAAAGCCAACTAAGGTAAAATTAAGCTTCAACACTGCCAATTAAGGCAAGGTAAAGACTCGAACAAACAAGATAAGGCGGTGTGAAGGAATATCAGAGACAGTCATTGAAGTTTAGCAAATGTCTGAAATATTTTTCGCTGTATCCTACCACTGTTAATAAGTTAATGATCATTTAATCATTGACAGTTGGCCCTCTCTAAACCATACAATGTTTTTCTTAAACACTTTTCTGTACCCAACCAGTTAAGTCACGATTATGTATTCATCCTGCCAGATAAGGCGTTAAACTTCCACCCAATTATTTAAGGCAAGGTTTAGCTTCGTACAGGTAGTAAAGTTTATGTGAGGGATCTACCGATCCTAAAAAGACAAGGTTTTGTATTTAACCAGTCATTTAAGGCAAGATAATTTACTTAGCCAATTAAGGCAAGATTATGCAATAACCCAGCCAAATATCGCAAGGTTGAGCTTCCTCCCAGCTAATTATAAAACTGCGTCCCCAGTAAGTGCCGACCAGAGTGTTTTGTCAACTGGCTAGCGATAAAACGTATTAGGTAGCATACATTGTTCTTTTTGCTTTCCGCGAGCGAGTGTGCCCATACATCTTTGCCGAATTCTGACGTTTCTCTCTCTCGCCCGGCCTGGCTTATTTTTGTTAAACTTATTTTGTAGTGTTTGCCCATCGGGCGATACACTTGGTTTTATAGGCTTACAATAAAGCCTAAGTACTGAATCGCACCCAGCCTAGCCATCTCATCGCCACCCAGCCTAGCCATTTCATCGCCACCCAACCTTCTTCGTTCCTCACTGGACGAATCCATGAGCACCAAGTGCATCTGTCACGATTGCGAGAATCTTCGCGATCCCTCCCCCTTCTAGCACTCTTCGAGCATCAACTCCTCGACTTCTCTCGTCAAGAAAGCATTCAACGGGCCAGGAGCAGCTTCGAACGCTTTCGCTAAGGCACATAGCCGGCGAAACTGCAAAGCATTGAGCCATCGTTCCCTTTGTGCGCGCGACCTTACGTACGGATAATATGCCCGTCGGGCTCAGCCGATCGCTCGCGGTCACGTATTCTGCAACATTCCATTTCTCCGAATAATAGACCTGTTACACGCTTAAAAAGTTTTATATTTCTGACAGACATATTTGAGTTACATAACTAATGATACTCAGTCAACGAATATGATGCATTTGTACATAAATTTACTAGTTTTTTAATTATTTTTATATACAAAATCACAAACACTTAGTGTTACATGAATATATTTATATTTCATAAATTTTTCAACACTTAAATAATAATTTAAAAAATAAAATCGCTATGTCAAATCAAATGTAATATTACGATAAGAAAAAAGCAGTATAAACCAAGATAGACAAAAGGTTACTGCTTCTGAATGCGCATAGATACGCAAAATAGATACGCAAGCATTTTTGATGTTTTGAGCCGTACTATTCTTTTTATTAACGGTGATTCACATGGGGGGCCGTATATCGAGAACCGTACTGCTACAATAAAGTTGCATTTGACTATATATAGCTCGACATCTCTCCCGTCCATTATCTTCTAGTCAGTATAAGAAGCCTATACAGCCTAGAAGATAATGTATGGAGCTTTTATACAGCCGAGAACATATAAAGTATAGACTGCCATCCCGTTTCATGTGTTGCTGTGTCTGGTTAAAGAAAGAAAGAACGAACCGAGTGAGAAATGATTTCTCTCTCTCTAACACTTTAAAGTATTCCTGCAAATCATGCTGAATAAAATGTCTATTGATAAATGAAAATTCAAGTAATTAAATAGCGTTGGTAAAATAATAACTAGTTTTATGTAGATACCTAATGTAGCCGACTATACGGTTTTAATACTTTGAATAAATATTAATAAAAAGTGTCTGTCAGTTGAGCAGGTGTACTATTTATTTCTTTTTTTTTTTGCTATTTATTTGTAATGTTGTTCTGAAAACTCGTATACGGTATCTGACTTTAATCTTATCTAATAAACTAAACTCCCTCATCATTTTATAATAAGGTGATTCTCATGAACTTTTGGACAAATGCATTGCTACATGTGCCAAATCTATCCGAATATGATGATCTTAACTAAAATTTTAGCTGTACATTACCAGCGAAATCTAAACAGTTCGCTGTATTTCTATTTTACATAGAATAGTTTTTATTGACTTAAGTTTCGCTGCTTATAGATGTTTTATTGTAGATTGCATTGCATTTACTTGCATTTCATAAAAATCGTAAGCTCTCGTGCCCAAGAAAGTGTACGTTATGATGGCAGAACCATTGAGCCATATAAAAATTACCTTATTAGAAAATTACGAGGGAGCTTAATTTCTTAGATAAGATTAATATCAGATACCGTATGTAAATTTTCAGAACAACGTTGCATTGATGTGGAAGTAGGTTATACCTTTTGACCATTTTTGCTCTAAGAAAATCGTTTGCCAAATAAATATGATGTATTGTATAGAGGACCAATCACTAACAATAAGGTAACTTCGGCTAGTAGAGATACAATATACAGGGTGGACCATTTTAATCGAAACACCCAGAAATCTTTTTCCAGGTAAGGATGCGTGAAACATGTTTCAGACAAAAGTTGCTGGACTCCGAGGGGCACATAATCGGGTGACCTTGACTCTGACCTTGAGGGTCATTTTCAAGGTCATCCAAAGGTCAACTTTGTTTTTTTAAATAGAAACCCCCATTTTTGACCTCGGATTCAGAAAGAGCGTGAAATTCTACGTTCAGATGACCTATTATACGTGGGGTCTGGGTAACCACCAAGGTCGCCCCCAACATCACGTAAAGTTCAATGTTATTTTTTTCTTAATCTTTCCACCTAACTAACCTAAGATCGGTATAGTTTAGAGAAAAATGATGTAAACAAAAGTTATTGCATTTTGAGAGGGGCATCTTGTGGTGACCTTAACTTCGACCTAAGGGTCATTTTCAAGGTCATTTGAAGGTTAACTTTCTGTTTCTCGGAATAACCTACTTTTTTATCACGGATTCGGAAACAACAAAGAATTCGACGTTCTTGAAACATAACACATGTAGCATCTAGGTGACCCTTCCTGTAAGGGTTTTTTTGTTGTAAGCTTTTTCATAAACCCGTTCGTAATTCTAACTTGAGTAACATTATTTTGAAACGACATTTTTTGTAATTATTAAGATTTCTTCACAATGCTTTGTGATTCCTGATTAATTATTAATAAAAAAGATAATAAATATGATAATTATTTCATGATAAATAAAATCAATTTGTGTACTGTACACTTTGGTGTGATTTATTTACCCTATCCAAGACACTCCTAAAACAAGTATTGTAGAAATTACTACTACTGTTACTACTAATAGAAAAGTAGAAACAAATTTGACCTTCAAATGACCTTGAAAATGACCCTCAAGGTCGAAGTTAAGGTCACCACAAGATGCCCCTCTCAAAATGCAATAACTTTTGTCTACATCATTTTTCTCTAAACTATACCGATCTTAGGTTAGTTAGGTGGAAAGATTAAGAAAAAAATAACATTGAACTTTACGTGATGTTGGGGGCGACCTTGGTGGTCACCCAGACCTCACGTATAATAGATCATCTGAACGTAGAATTTCCCGCTCTTTCTGAATCCGAGGTAAAAATGGGGGTTTCTATTTAAAAAAACAAAGTTGACCTTCGGTTGACCTTGAAAATGACCCTCAAGGTCAGAGTCAAGGTCACCCGATTATGTCCCTCTCGGAGTCCAGCAACTTTTGTCTGAAACATGTTTCACGCATCCTTACCTGGAAAAAGATTTCTGGGTGCTTCGATTAAAATGGTCCACCCTGTATAGTGTAAATACTGTAGAAGTATCGTTTGCTTTGTCAGCAACAGGAAACATGAGTTTCCGCAATAGAGTTCTAACAAAAACCGAACACTGAAAGCTTTTTATTTACGAAAGATCCTAATTTAATATTTTATTTAATAATGATAGACAAACAAAGCAAGCAATACTCATTTACGACCTTTTTATATACTTTAATAGAAATTTCATTTATGCAGAAAAACATTACATTTTAGGATTCAAAAAAAAAGTCTTTACCTAAATATAATAAAAGAAAAGTACAAATGAGAAAAATAAGTACATTACAACTCCTTATCTCTAGCAATTACTTCGGCCGTCGAGTTTGTCTACCACATTATGGAA